CTCCTCACCCTTCTTTTGAACCAGGTCTGCCGTAGCACAGACTAGCCTTGAACTTTTTTCTTCAGCCTTCACCTCCTCCCAAGCGCTAGAATTAGGCCCATTGCCACCACGTCTAAATCATATCCTTCTCTTTGACCTTAACGCCCTAGCTCTAAAACGGGGGTAATAGCACCCACCTCCCACCGTTTTTAAGAGAATGTGACGAACACGCCCGAAGGATCTGGGCGTGAACTCCGTACAGCAGGCTTTAGAAGTGTTTGCAGTTGGTAAAGGAGTGACTGTGGGACTCACCTGCCCGTCGATCCTGCCTGCGGTCCTCCGACAGCACATACCGCTGCGTACCAGCGGTCGGAGCTTGCGGCTGTGAGGAGGCAGCTGCCGGGGACTCCTCAGCCCCAGCGCCAGACCCGGGCCCCGCCACACCCGGCCCCAGGATGGCGAAAATAGTCTCCTCCTCCGCCGAGAAGGCGTCCTCGGCAGCGGGCCCCGCGCCCTGCGTGGAGTGCGGCACCCGGGCCAGCTTCTCCTTGGTGCGGCGCTTGAAGTCGTTCCAACGCTTCTGAACCTCCTGGCCGGTGCGCTTCCAGCTGGTGATGCCGTTGATCTTGCTGGCTATGCTGTCCCACACACGCCGCCGCTCGGCCACGCTCACCCGACGGCTCTGCGCGCCGTAGAGCTGAGGGTAGTGGGCGCGCACCTCCCGAATCAGGATCTGGTTCTCCTCGAAGGAGAACCGCGGTTTGCGGAGCCGGGTGGTCTCCTCCGCTTCGCCCGGCGCCGCCGCCGCCGCCGCCGCGGTCGCCGAGGCCATGGCGCCCCCAGACGCCACCGATCGGCTGCCTGGCGCATGGGGGGCGCCGGCTCTGCGGGCAAAGGGTGAACAGCGCTGGCGGGGGCTCGGTGTCCCCGTGTCGCCCCGACACGGGCTCCTCCGGTCCCCTGTGCAAAAGTGGTGGTGGGAGCGGCGAGCTGCTGAGTGCAATCAAAGGTGCTTACTCAAAGGTGATACCCGCCCAGTGCCCATCTTGTGCTTCACGCGGCCGCCGAATGCCTCGCGGAGGAGTTGATGGGTATTGGGGGACGGTCTGGAAGGATGGAGGGAAATGAGCAAAAGTGGAAGGAAGAAAGGGTGTCGCTGCAGGAGTTAGAGGAGAACGGGGGCGCAGGGGAACAGGAAAAGGAAAGAGAATCGGGGATACCCCGGGGGTCGAACATGCATGAGGCTTTGAAGTGATGCCAACCGGGCAATGCAGTAGACAGGGGGCATCCAGATCAGAGGGGAGCGCTAAGGGGCTCCCAGGGCAGTGGGGTGTCTGTTCTATGGTCCCTGAGAGAGGATGTCCAGGAATAAAGGTGAGAGGGGAGCCTCTGGGTAAGACGATAAAATATTAAGGCTGAGGGTCTGCAGGGATTATGGGGGTGCTGGGATTGCCAGGAATGAAGGGGAGCGCTAGAGATAACGGGGGTCCTGGATAAGAGGAGGGACCTCCCGAAGCTCTTTGGGACTCCAGGAAGAGTGATGGAGCGCAGAGGATGGGGACCCAGTTGGGCCGTGGGTCACTCACCCGCGCCGCCGCAGCCCCTGCCTGCCGGTGGGTCAGGGCTTCGGCTTCTGCAGCCTCTTCCCTCCCCCCTCCCCCTCTCCCTCCCCCTCTGGGCCCCGCCCCCAGTAGCATCGAGAGCCACGGCGCATGCGCGCTGGGCGAACGCTGTCTCCAGACACCCTGATAGCCAGGGCTGCGTTCTCTGCGCCTAGCTTCTCTGCATGGCGCAAGCGCAGAACTGCTCCTCGCCTTGCTTCACCTGAAGGATACGGCTGCGCAGCCGCACACTTAGCATTGCGCTAGGTTCCCTGGGCATCTCGTGCCGAATCGCGCATGTGCCAACCTACAGCGCGCATGCGTGTCGCTGGCACCTTGCCGGCGGTGGTACCCAGGATTCAATCCCAGTGCGGGCGCTGCAGAGGAAGGAGAGATGCTAGAGTGAGCGCTAAGACAGAGCGGAGTTTCCCCTTTTTGGGTAGTCCTCTAGCCTACTCTCTCCGCTAAGCCAAAAGTCTTTTTTGTTAGAGAAAGGGGAGGGAGCGATGGGGAGGAGAGTAGAGTTTAGTTTCCATGACAACTGCGTGGGTGGGGATGGGGGCGTTAAGCACCCTCCTTGCCCACGCCCAATCACGCCCCAGCGCAGGATCGCTCGGGAACTACCTCCTACGGATTTAGGCGGGGCACCCGGGAGATATTCCCCGCCCATGCAGAGGCGGTAACCATAGCAACCCAGCAACCTCCCAATCACGCCTGGGAGGCCCCCTGTTCACGTTTTGACGTCACCTCCTCGGAAAGGGAGTTCAAAGACTGGAGTGTCTTGGAGGGTGGGGACGACGATCCTCCTGGCCATGGCCTGTTTTAATCAAAAGCGCCGAGCAGGAATGAATGAAGAGCACCAGTTGGATGAACTGAATGGCTGGATGACTGAGTTTAGCCTTCTGAAATTTTTTCAGTGCCAGCATTTGCAAGGGCATTGAGTAAACGGTGCTTCATTCATCCGACAGTTATTTATGAGCGCCCACATCGCTCAAGGTGCTATCCACATAAAAGGCAAAACTTCCTTCTCTGTTTGTGCTCACTTCCAAAAATTGTTTTTGAGGGTATCCCAGGCTGGCATTGAATTTGCAGCAATAATCTCGCTGCAGCCTCCAGAGGACAAGGTATGTGCCGCCACCACACTTAAGGAACAGGTGACATGTGTATTAAGAAGTGAGGCAGGGGAGGGGCTGGAGAGATGGCTCAGCACTTAAGAGCTCTCGCATGAGGATCGGAGTTTGGGTCTTCAAACCCAAACGTGGGGCCCATAACCATCCTTAGCCCCAGTACCAAGGGATCTGATGCCCTCTTCTGGCCTTTGCTGGCACCAGGCATGCATGTGGTGCACAGACATACAAGCAGGCAAAACGGCCACCATATACATAAAAAAAAAGGGGGAGAAAAGCTGGGTGGTGGTGGCGTCTGCCTTTAATTCCAGCACTCCGGGAGGCAGAGCCAGGCGGAACTCTGTGAGTTCGAGGCCAGCCTGGGCTACACAGCGAGATCCAGGACAGGCACCAAAACTACACAGAGAAACCCTGTCTCAAAAAGAAAAAAAAAGGGTAGCCGGGCGTTGGTGGCGCACGCCTTTAATCCCAGCACTCGGGAGGCAGAACCAGGCGGATCTCTGTGAGTTCGAGGCCAGCCTGGACTACCAAGTGAGTTCCAGGAAAAGGCGCAAAGAAACCCTGTCTCGAAAAACCAAAAAAAAAAAAAAAAAAAAAAAAGGGGGAAAAATTTTAGTTTTGTTTGTATACATATGTGGGTGGTGGTGCCTTGGATACCAGAGAGGGTGAGATCCCCTGCAGGTGGATCCACCTGGTTCTGCTTCATGAGTGCTGGGATTAAAGGCATGGGTGCCCCCACTCCGTGCTGCTGCGAGTAGAGATACATGTATATGTGTGTGTGTGTATATATATATAGTACATGTGCACATATATATGTACATATATACATATATATTGCTCTGTGTAACAGCCCTGGCTGTCCTCAAACTTGCTTTGTAGACTAGCCTGGCCTTGAACTCACAGATGAGATCCACCTGCCTCTGCCTCTGCCTCCCGGGTGCTAGGATTAAAGGTGTTCATATGCCCTAGTTTATACTTTAAAAAAAAAAAGTTTTGTGATGGGGTTCGGGAGCCCAAAGTTTAAAATCTATCAAAAGTCAGACCTGGTGCTTCCTAGGCTAATAAGGCAGGAGGCGAACCCCTGTGTAAACAGAGCTGTAGATTCCTAGGTTCACTATCTAGGGAACAGGAGAGGGAAAAAGGAAGAAAGAAAAAGACTTAGCTTACAGGTGAGATGGCCCAGTGGGTGAAAGGTGCTTGCCACTGGGCTTGAGACCCTAGTTCAGTCCCCAGGACCCACATGGTAGGAGAGAGAGTGGACTCCTCCGACGATCTAACTACCACCTGGATGCTGTGCCCCATCCCCCCACCCTCTGCACAGTTTGTTTTGTTTTGCTTTTTTTTTTTTTTTAAGTATTTTTTTTTTCTTTTTAAAGATTTATTTATTGTGTATACAGTGTTCTGTCTGCATGTATGCCTGCCAGCCAGAAGAGGGCGCCAGATCTCATTACAGATGGTTGTGAGCCACCATGTGGTTGCTGGGAATTGAACTCAGGACCTCTGGAAGAGCAGCCAGTGCTCTTAACCGCTGAGCCATCTCTCCAGCCCCTGTTTTGCTTTTTTTGAGACGGGTTCTCTACATAGCCCACGCTGCCCTGTAACTCAACTATGTAGACCAGGCTGGCCTCGACCTCACAGAGATCCGCCTGCCTCTGCCTCTTGAGCTCTGGGATTAAAGGCATGGGGCCACCACGCACTTTCCTGACAGCACTGGGGTTAAAGGCCGTGTGCCACCACTGCCTGCCTCCACAAAGTCTTAAAAAAAAAAAAAAGTGTCTAGGTGGAGGCTAAGAAGTATCTGGGAACCTGTCCCAGCCAGACATCCTGTGTTGGAGGACATATGAGACAGTTCTAGATCCCTCTCTGGCCCTCCTATGGTTCCCATGGTTTTAGGCAAACGCAGCCCCCAGTCTCGTCCTTCACCTCTCTCCCCCAGAACCCAAAGGCGCAGCCCACTAACTGGGCCAACCATGTTCAAAGACTGTAGACACCAGAGTTACAAATCTAAAACTCTTTATTCACCAGAGCTCCACCCACCCACCCATAGATCCTCATCCCACCTCGAAGCCCAACTCCTAAATAACTTACAAGTCCTACTAGAGTTCTTCTTTGACCCTAAAATTACAATCTAAGCGGTTGCCATGTTCACATCGGGTCTTAGACTCTTTGGCTGTGGGACTCACATGGATTTAACACACTCAACAAGATTGGGGGTGGAAGAGAGAGACGTCTCTCACTGGGGGAGGGGTCCATCAATGATTGGGGTTGGGGGCAGGAGAAAGTGAGATGGGATTAGAAATGAAGTAGGGGGAGCTGTGGGCTTCAGCTCCCTTGAGACAGCCTGTGAAGCTACAAAGGCCCTGCAGCCTTCCAAGACGGTCCTGACCTACCTCCAGTTCCTGCTGGATGGCATGTTCAAGGAACTTGAATGGTCCATGGAGAAACCTGAGTCTGCAGATGCTGAAGAAGGTGAAGACGGATGATCTCACAGTCAGTACCAACATCAAGTTCTCAGGTCCCGGCCAATCTCTGGCACTGTCCCCAGATTCTGACGACTAGCCTGTCAGAGCACGCTGGGATTCTGTACGGTGGAGAGTCCAAGGGTTTCCCCCAAGGGATATTTACAGGGGATCTGAGAAGTCAACAGGGCTAGCTTAGTATCACCAGCAGGCTGTCACAATCCAAAAGAAGCCACCAAGTTGCAGGGTCCATGGAGAACAGCTCTCACAGCGTCAGGAATCTCTGAAACAGGTGGACCCGGCTGCCAGCAACCGCCAATGTTTCAGGATCCTGAAGGCACAGAGAAGAGTGGGATCCAGGAACCCCCATAGGGCTGGGTGAGCAGAGGGGAGGAGGGTACCAGGGCCAGAGCAAGGAGGGTTTGGGGGTGTGGGTGATAGGCACCTCGTGGGTCTTACTTATCGCTTGACTTTGCGTCCAGCGGAGTTTCGCCCACCACGACGGTAGAGAGACTGCTGGTTGGTGTTGAGTGGACAGTACTTGAGCGTGTGAGCCTGGTCCCCGGTGGCCCCGCACAGGGGGCACACGTAATGCCTCAGGATGGGACACACCACCACGCCTTCCAATGTCTTCAGCTGGTGTGAGGCATAGACGTGACGAGACTCTCCATTGTGTTTGCAGAAGTTGCACAGGGTAGCCAGGCTCCCGGAGACCCCCGGCTCCTGTTCACTCTTCTGGGGTCTGGGGGTGGGAACTTCAGCCCCTTTACCCACCAGCCTTTGGCTCCGGCCCTGGATTATAGTCAGTATCACCTGGCTCAGGTTAAAGTAGTCCCTCCACATGTCAAAGGGCGGTAGCTCCATGACACCTCTATGTGGCTGGTGGCTGTGGGTACTAGGGAGGGACTTGGGGCCAGGGGCTGTGAGGTCAGAGGGCAGGAGCACCAGGCCTGTGTGGAGCAGAGAGGAGGCACACCCCCTTATAAATACTCCCCTGCAGACAACTCTAAGCAAAGGTGGAGCTTAGATTTAAAGGGCCCACTTCCAGCTCATGATTCTTGTCTGGCTCCAATCTCCCACGGAGATTGGAAGTAGCTTATTTTCCAGGTCGCCCCTCCTCCAAGGCACTCTGTGTTTTCTGGAAAGGACCTTCTATTTCCACGGGCTTCAGTCTCCCCCCTGTTCAGTTTAGGGCTTTGCTTATGACGGTTGCCCACTCTCACATCCCCCTTCCTTCCCTCGGAACCATCCAGAACCTTAGATTTGACTTAATTTTTTTGTTTTGTTTTGTTTTGCTCGTTTGTTTGGTTTTTCATGATAGAGTCTCACTATGTATCCCCGGTTGTCCTGGAACTTGCTATGTAGACCAGGCTGGCCTCAAACCCTCAGACTCTACCTCCCCAGGTGCTGGGATTAAAGACATGTACCACCACGACCAGCTTAATCTTTTATTACGTTTATTTAGTTAATAGTGGGGGGCATGCCACTGCTTATATGTGGAGCTCAGAGGACAGCTTGCAGGAGGCGGCTCCTTCTCCCAGGTGGATTCCAGGGATCAAATTCAGAGGTCAGAGGACAGATTTCAGAAGTCAATTCTCTCCTTCCACCGTGGGTCATGAGACTTGAACTCAGGTTGTCAGCCTTGGAGACAAGGCCTTTATCCTCTGTGCCCATCCTGCCTGCTCGGCCTTAATCGTCTCAGTAGCCCTGACTGTGAGGCAGACACTGCCACACAGTTACCTCCATGGTCTGACTGAATCCTCACAGCTCCACGAGGGGAGCCCAGCTAGGATCCTGGATCGCAGACCAGTAACTGAAGTTCAGAGAGGGAACTTCATTGGTCTGGAGTCACACAGCATGGACAAACTGGATCCAAACAAGTGCTAACAAGTACTTACGGTGCCTGGTGCTTTACAAGCATGATTCTTTGGAGGCCACTGTCAGGCATGGAGATGAGGACTCTGTTCCTTCCGTGTCACAGAGGGTATGAGGCTCAGAGACGGGAAGGAGCACACCCAAGGTCACAAACTGGGGAGATGGCCGAGATGGAACTGACACCTATGTGTATGTGATTTTTTTGGTTTCCGCCCCCAACTCCCACCTCCCACCCCCAGGTAAGGACCAAACCCAGGGCCTTGAGCTTGCTAGGCAAGCACTCTACCACGGAGCTAAAACCAACCCTCAATGTGTTTATTTTTGAGGTAAGAGCTCACATAGCACAGGCTGGCCTTGAACTCTCTGCGTAGCTGAGGATGACCTTGAACTTCTGATCCTCTTGCCTGTACTTACCAAGTACTGGGGTTACAGGTGTGTACCACTGTGCCAGGTTGGTATGCAACCAACTGTAAGCAGGGCATAGTGGTGCACGTCTTTTAATCCCAGCACTTGGGAGGCAGAGGCAGGCAGATCTCTGTGAGTTCGAGGCCAGCCTGGGCTACAGAGTGAGTTCCAGGGCAGCCAGGGCAGTTACACAGAGAAACCCTGTCTTGACAAACAACAACAAAAATCCATTGTAGGGCCAGGTAGCAGGTAAAGGTGCTGGCCAACAAGCTTGAGGACCTGAGTTCAATCCTCAAAACCCACTTTCAGGTTTTCCTCTGACCTCCAGCATGCATGCCTGTATAGCTACACAGAAATAAATAAACGCACTGAAACACATTTGGAACTGTCACCATAGCTAGGCAGGGTGACATGGTCACAAGCCTAGCTCTCACAAGGCTCTTGGGTTTGATGCCTGGGCTACAGTGAAGACTGGCAGAAAGCCAAAAACACCGTCGTGGTCCCATCTTACAGATGAGCGGAGAGAGGTTCCAGAGAGGCTGGAGTCAAAGCTACGTGGCTAGCTGGGACCCAAGCCCTTTGAACCTGCATATGGAATGTAGTCAAGATGGATGAGCAAGGAGGTGCTGTAATCCCAGCAAAGGCAGGAGCGTTGCCCCGGGTTCAAAGCCAGCCTGGCTACACAGGGGCCATCTCAAAGCAAGGGAACCAGGGGAGCTAGGCGAGACCTGCCTAATGTAGGTGCACACTGAGGTGCAGTGCCTGCAGTGAGGGGATGTCTGAACCACTGGCTTTTCACACAGAATAATGCCACCAATATTTCACACAGGGACAACCTCCCGGGCAGAAGAGACACTGGTTGCTGTATGGGGGAGTAAGGCTTCTGATGAGGGGGTCCAGAACAGGCTCAGTATGATACCCCATCAGAAGTGGAGACCTGGGGGCTCAAGTCTGTTAATTCCAGGGTCAAGGAGGCTTAGACAGGAGGGTCATGAGTTCTAATCCATGGGGAGGCATAAATACGAGGGAGAGGCAGGTGGCTCCCTGAGTTTGAATCCAGGCTGGTCTGCAAAGCATTAGGGTGTGTGTGTGTGTGTGTGTGTGTGTGTGTGTGTGTGTGTGTGTGTAGGAAAAATAGTCATGACGGTAATTTTTGGGCTATATGTTGTTGGGGGTTGCAGAGCCTGATCCTGATTCTTGACCATGATCTCTTTAGTTGAGGGTCCGGTAGCTGAGTTTGAATCCAGGCTGGTCTGCAAAGCATTAGGGTGTGTGTGTGTGTGTGTGTGTGTGTGTGTGTGTGTGTGTGTGTGTGTGTGTGACGGTAATTTTTGGGCTATATGTTGTTGGGGGTTGCAGAGCCTGATCCTGATTCTTGACCATGATCTCATTAGTTGAGGGTCCGGTAGCTGGGAAAGGCAAGGCAGAACTCACAGTAACTATTATTCATTTTCCTCAGTTTCACATCTCATCTTGTTACTCAGCTCTGACTGCCTTTCCTCCTGGGCCTCTGTTGCGGTTAACTCTTTGGCTGTTTGCAGGCACCTCTTTAGAAAAGCCCAGTCTTGGGTGGTGTGGAGAGAGGAAACTACCAGAGGTGAAACTGACCTGTGTTTACTATGTAGGGGTGACGGCCCAAGCCTGGCCCTGCAGGGGTCCGCCATCCTGTTTACTTCTGACTTTATCTTCAGCCTGACCCCCACCCCCTGGCTAGAAAACAGATCAAGGGGGTTTCAGACAGGCAGGTGAGTCTGGTGAGGATTACAAACTTTCAAAAGGCAGGCGCTAAGGAAACGTTACTTTAAGGAGAATTCCGCCCACTTTCCTGATGCAGAGTCGGAGGTTCATCATGTTCCATAGACTCATGAAACCACAGCTAGAGTTTTTATCAACTTATTTCAATCTTTTTTTTTTTTTTTTTTAAAGATTTATTTATTTATTATGGATACAGTGTTCTGCCTACATGCATGCTTACAGGCCAGAAGAGGGCACCAGATCTCATTATAGATGGTTGTGAGCCACCATGTGGTTGCTGGCAATTGAACTCAGGACCTCTGGAAGAGCAGCCAGTGCTCTTAACCGCTGAGCCATCTCTCCAGCCCCCAATCTTTTTTTTTTAAGCCTAGATCTCACTGTATAGCCCAGGTTGGCCTTAGTCAGTGATCCTCGTGCCTCAGTCTCTCAAGCTCCTAGACTACAGGTGTGCACCACTATATTCAGCTATATATATTTTGCTTTTCGTTTTTGGCTTTTTTGAGACAGGATTTCTCTGTGTAGCCCCAGCTGTCCTAGAACTCACTCTGCAGACCAGGCTAGCCTCGAACTCACAGAGATCCAACTGCCTCTGCCTCCCCTCCATCCAGTGCTGGGATTTAAGGTGTACACCACCATGCTCAAGCTACATGGTTCTTTTTTAAAATGTTAAGGCCAGCAAAATGGTTCAGTGGCCAAAGACTTTGCCACCGACCTTGAAGACCTGAGTTCGATCCCCAGGACCCACATGGTGTTCTCTGTCCTGTGCAGCATAGTGGCGTGTGTCTGCTTCTAAATAAATGTGATCTTAAGTTTTTGAAAAAATGTTAAGCCAGATTTGGTGGCACACATTAATAATTCCCGTACGGGTGGGGGGATGGGGTGGGGGTGGGAGGTGGAGGGGTGGGGAGGAGAACAAGAGGATCAGGAGTAGTTCAAAGGTCATTCTTGGCTACATGATGAGCTCAAGGATACTCTGAGTTACAAGTGATCCTTTCTCAAAGGGAGAAAAAAAAGTTAACTAGGCTGAGGGTGCAGCTCCATGGGTAGAGGGACTGCTGGGAGACAAGCATGCCCACTGTGGTGATTTGAGTAAGAATGGCCCCCACAGGCTTATATATTTGGATGTCTAGTCATCAGGGAGTGGCGTTGTCTTAGTCTGTTCTGTTGTGAAGAGACACCATGACCAAGGCAACGCTTATAAAAGAAAGCATTCGCTGGGCGGTGGTGTCGCACGCCTTTGATCCCAGCACTCGGGAGGCAGAGCCAGGCAGATCTCTGTGAGTTCGGGGTTAGCCTGGTTTACAAAGCAAGATCCAGGAAAGGCTCCAAAGCTACACAGAGAAACCCTGTCTCACCCCCCCCCCCCAAAGAAAGAAAGCATTCAATTGGGGGCTTGCTTACGGTTTCAGAGTCCATTATCATCATGTGGAGAAGTATGGCTGCAGGCAGACATGGAGCAGTCACTAAGAGCTACATCCCCATCTGTAGGCAGCAGACAGACACTGGGCAGGGCATGGGCTTTTGAAACCCAAATCCACCCCCAGTGACATACTTCCTCCAACAAGGCCACACCTCCTAATCCTTCTATCAAAGAGTTCCACTCCCTGGTGCCTAAGCATTCTAATATATGAGCCGGTGGCAGGGGCATCTCACATTCCATTCCCTGGCCCCCATAGGCCTGTGGCAATACCGTAATGCAAAACTGCTTTCAGTCCAACTTCCAAAGTCCCCATAGTCTATCACAGCCTCAACAATGTTTAAAAATCCTAAATTCGCCAGGCTGTGGTGGCGCACGCCTTTAATCCCAGCACTTGGGAGGCAGAGCCAGGCGGATCTCTGTGAGTTCCAGGACAGCCTGGTCTACAAAGTGAGTCCCAGGAAAGGCGCAAAGCTACACAGAGAAACCCTGTCTCGAAAAACGAAACCAAACAAACAAACAAAAAATCCTAAGTTCAAAGTCCCTTCTGAGACTCATGACAATCTCTTCACTGTAATCCCCTGTAAAATCAAAATCAAAAAGCAGATCACATACTTCCAACATACAATGGCACAGGACATACATTACCATACAAAAGGGAGGAAAGGGAGAACAGTGAGGAAATGCTGACCAAAGCAAGACTGGAAACCAGCTGGGCGAACTCCAAAATCTGCTTCTCCATGTCTGATGTCAAAGCCCTCTTCAGATCTCCAGCTCCTTTGAGCCTTGCTGACTGCCACACACTTCTCTCAGGGTCCACTTCCTGTTAGCAGCTCTCCTCAGCGGGTATCACAAGGCTCTGACATCTCTAACATGTTGGGTTCTCCAAGGCCATCCAGGTTTCACCTTCACGGCTTCATGCAAGGGCTTCTCTGGGCCTCCATGCAGGGACACCGCTGACACATGCCTGTCCTCGGTGGCTTTTCCTTAGCTGCACAGCGAGTTTCTACAATCCCTGTTTTGTATCCTTGACTCTACAGCCAGAACCACGTGGCCAAAGCTGCCAAGTTCTGCTGCCTGATGAGGCTGCAACTTGGCCCCCTCCTTTCTGTGGTTGGTGGTTTCCTTCACTGCTTAAGTTTTTCATTCCCTTTCTTTTCTTTTCTTTTTCTTTTTTGTTTCTCTGTGTAGTTTGGAGCCTGTCCTGGAGCTCGCTGTGTAGACCAGGCTGGCCTCGAACTCACAGAGGTCCACCTGTCTCTGCCTCCCGAGTGCTGGGATGAAAGGCGTGCTCCACCACTGCCTGGCACTTTTCTCTCTTTCTTTCTTTCTTCTTTCTTTCTTTCTTTCTTTCTTTCTTTCTTTCTTTCTTTCTTTCTCTTTCTTTCTTTCTCTTCCTTTCTTTCTTTCTTTCTTTCTTCTTCTTTCTTTCTTTCTTTCTTTCTTTCTTTCTTTCTTTCTTTCTTTCTTTCTTTCTTTTTCTTTTTAAAGATTTACTTGTTTTATGTATATGAGTACTCTATCTACATGTCAGAAAAGGGCATCAGATCTCATGCTAGGTGATTGTGAGCCACCATGTGGTTGTTGGGGACCAGACTCTCCTTCCCTGGAAGAGCAGCCGGTGCTCTTAACCACTGAGACATCTCTCTAGCACCTGCTTAAGCTTTTCTTTTCTTTCTTTTTTACAGATTTTTTAATTTACTGTGTATACAGTGTTCTATCTGCATGTATCCCTGCAGGCCAGAAGAGGGCGCCAGATCTCATTACGGATGGTTGTGAGCCACCATGTGGGTGCTGGGAATTGAACTCAGAACCTCTTAACCTCTGAGCCATTTCTCCAGCCCTGCTTAAGCTTTTCTTTAATTCCTTTTCACAGATTGAAAGTTTATCTGGGTGGGGTCTTGTCAGAGGTCCTCACTCCCTTTATTTCATTTAGCATCTTTTTTTTTTTTTTTAAATCTTCTTAAACATCGGACTTAACTCCATTACACTTCCTGGTGTCCCTTTTCTCCTACTGTACATTTTATATTTCTTTTTGCCCAGCTTGCTCCTTTTCATTACAGATCTCCATGAGCGTGACCACTAATAATCGCATGACACAGTCAATACTGGACTGTCATGAAATCTCCTCTGTCCACACCATCAAAAACTCAAGTTAAGCCAGGCGGTGGTGGCGCACGCCTTTAATCCCAGCACTCGGGAGGCAGAGCCAGGCGGATCTCTGTGAGTTCGAGGCCAGCCTGGGCTACCAAGTGAGTCCCAGGAAAGGCGCAAAGCTACACAGAGAAACCCTGTCTCGAAAAACCAAAAAAAAAAAAAAACCAACAACAACAACAACAACAACAAAAAACCTCAAGTTAGCCTCAGGCAGATTTTTAGAACCAGGGCCAAAAGCAGCCACATTCTTTTCTAAAAATACCACAAGAATAGTCTTTAGGCCGCTTACTAGTATTCTTCCCCTCTGAAACTTCTTGAACTGGGACCCCACAGTTCACATCTCCCTCTGCACTACCGTCCATGTTTCTACTAAGATGGCTTGTTAGGCCCCACTTAAAGTGTCCAACCACTTTCTAGTCCAAAGTCCCAAAGTCCATATTCTTCCAGCAACAGCATCATCAGTGAAGGAGGGGCATTAGTCCACTCAAACATGTGGCGCTGACAGGCCTTGCCCCTCCCCCACTCCCTCTGCCTTGCTAACAACCATTAGATCACATTCCTAAAGCTAGCCCCCAAGGTCTACTCCCTTATTTGGCCACTTCCTCCTCCTGAGGCTGACTACCAAGGTCCAGCTATCAAAGTGTTGAAGTCCAGCAATCAAAAGCCCCCTTTGGCCTGGTGGCGGCGGCGGCGGCGGCGGCGGCGGCGGCGGCGGCGGCGGCGGCGGCGGCGGCGCACGCCTTTAATCCCAGAGGCAGAGCCAGTCAGATCTCTGTGAGATCGAGGCCAGCCTGGTCTACAGAGCAAGATCTAGGGCAGGCACCAAAACTACACAGAGAAACCCTGTCTTGAAAAAAAAATTACGTCCTGCTGTCTGGGGGCAACAGCATCTTTAGAGGATCCTGAAAAGAAAGATTTTGGGTTAACTGTCAAGTCCTGGGAGAGGTAGCTGTATCATTTGTTGTCCAGTCTCTGTGTAATGGGAAAATGCAAGGCTTGTCTCAAGTCCTTGCTGGAGTAGTCTGTGAGGCTGGATCATCTCAGCTAGCCATCTTGAAATTGAGCTGAGCAGTTTGTAGTCCAAAGCTGAACTTTGGGTGGTGTTTGTCAGCTTATTGGTATTATCATCATCTTGATGGAATTGTCATTGTGGGATCCCATTATCTTTTTGGAGACTTCACAGTCTCTGTTAGGTGTGATCATGATTCCCTGCAGAAAACTAATAGACTCAAACCGAAAATCATGTACAGGAAGCTTTTTTTCTAGAATTAGTTAGTACTCTATATGACCATTAATATCATGACAAAAGTTTAAAATACATATACACATATATGTAAATCTTACACATTTTGATATAAAATTCATACCTTAAGAAAAGTTTTAAAGAGTCAAAATAAAACCAAAGAATTATGAGATTAATAGCAACAGAACAGTCCCTTAATTTTGTTTTTTCTTCTGTCCCATATCAGGTGGCTTTTCTGACATGAAACAGAGATTTTGGATTTTCCTTTTAATAAGCATGCTTGGGTTTAGAGGAGAGAGCCACACTGCAGCTCCAAGGCCAGCTTTAATTTTTAATTGAGCTGGGACTACATAAAGACCATTTGCCTTATGTGTCTGTAGAGTGTTCTCGTGGAAGATCCACCTCAACTCCCCTCCCCCGTCTCTTTCCCCAAACCTGCCCCTTCAAAGCCCACCAAACACAACTCCTCCCCAAGAGATGCTCAAGACCACTCCCACAGGGTATTTAAGCTGCATCCCAGAAAACAGACATGTGGTTTTCCAGTCTCTCGTCCCTGTCTTCTCTCTGGGAGGCCGGAGAATCACCTGGGAATGCTTTACCCATTAAACCGGGGCTTTTTCTAATCCGGTCTGATTTGGTCTGATTTGGATTGCTGCATCAGTGGAGGCATATAAGGTATAAAAAACTTATCATAGGGCTGGAGAGATGGCTCAGAGGTTAAGAGCACTGGCTGCTCTTCCAGAGGTCCTGAGTTCAATTCCCAGAAACCACCTGGTGGCTCACAACCATCTACAGTGAGATCTGGTGCCCTTTTCTGGCCTGCAGGCTGAACACTCACTGTATACATGATAAATAAATAAAATCTTTAAAAAAAAAAAGTTAAAAAAAAAACTTATCATAGAGAACAGCAGAAACAAACATTTAGGGAGACTTAACAAAATTTTATCCTGTTAGATATGTGATATACCAATAGGCCAATTTACTCTTTTTCTTTGGACACTATTTTCTGGATGGTTTGTCGTTTTTCTTCAGATGTCTCGTTTGTCCAGTGTTCCTCAGATTCCTCAGCCTTCATTCTCCTGAAAGACAAAACCAAAACCCTTCCCCAACCCTAACTTTGGGGAGGTTGTTCCCTATTTAATCTTTACCAATTTTGATTTATGGTTTCTCCTGAATTTTTCATTCTCTTTTCTACAGTTGTTCTACCATCCAGAGCAGTATGGTTTTTTGGTTTTGTTTTTTTTTTTTTGGTTTTTCGAGACAGGGTTTCTCTGTGTAGCTTTGCGCCTTTCCTGGAACTCACGCTGTAGACCAGGCTGGCCTCGAACTCACAGAGATCCGCCTGGCTCTGCCTCCCGAGTGCTGGGATTAAAGGCGTGCGCCCCCACCGCTGGGTGCATTAGGTTCTTTAATTGCTCTGAGGAGTTTCTTCCATGATGGCAGGAAAGGACTGAACCGAATTTGTCATGGAGGCCTGCTTTTGGTGTTATTTGGCTTGTTATAGATCAGCTGTATTCTGTTATGAAAATCATGTGTGCCTTCATAGTTTTCCCAATTGATTTTTCCCTAAGAAGGAAAACTCTTACCTACCTTTATGACCCCGTAGAATTCAAGCCTGGTGACCTTGCTCGACCAGGGGATTGCTATGGCTTGGGTTTATAACTGGATTCCTGGGAGACTTAGAATAGAACTTAGAGGTATAAGGAGACGGAAGGAAGAGAGGAGTGGAGAACTTGAGGACGGAGAACTGAGAGGGATAAGGAGGATTTTGACCAGAGAGAACATGTGGACGAGATGGAAGATGAGGAAGAGTCAGATGGGGAAGTACTAGCTGGGTAACAAGATGAGAAGGGCCTACATGAGGCAGAATTAAGACGAGAGAATTAAGATAGAACTTAGAGGGAGCAGTAGATAAATATAGAGAGAAATCAGGCAAGAAAGGAGCTAGGCTTGAGAGCAGAATAGAAGCTGTGTAGAGAGAGAACCATCATAGAATAATAAAGTGTATGGACTAAGGAGTTTCGTGTACATAGATTCATTTCCTTTCATCAAAGATTAATTATCATCTGGTTGTAGATTCTTCCAGGACCCTGGGAGGGGCCTGTGGAGGGCTGGACCCCCCTAGTCCCCGACACTCAGGCAAGCTTTATTAGGGTACACAATGTATCCCCACATAACAGTGAGCGCTGGCTTCCCCATCACTCAGGTATAGTACAAGTCTCGGTCTCCCAGGACAGGTGTCAAGGCTGGCTTCTCCTTCTGTGAGGTGCCTGTCTCCTGTCCTTTCTCAGTCTGTTTCTCTCTGACAGTGCCACATCTATTGGCTGGAATCTTCGTGCTATCACTTACGGTCTCATCTGAAGCCTCATTAGTCTCTGTCTTAGTCACACTGCTCTGAGAAGCAGTGTCACTGTCTTCGAGCTCAAATATTGTTTTCCTCTTCTTTTGCACCTGCTCTTTGGGCGATGCTGAGCAGACTCTTTGCCCCCGGGATAGCCTCGGCTTGAGGCCAGGAGCTGGCACTGCTCTTAGAGCTTACCTGTATCTCAGAGCTTTCCTCTAGAGTCTTCATATGCACCCCCTGCATAGACGTGGCTCTTCCCGCAGGCTCCTCGGGTTGTCCCTTTGCTGACAGCGACAGGGAACGGGCTCATTGTCTTCTTCACGTCAGTATCTGCTGTCGACATGGGGCAACTTGTATCTTTTTTTGGATTTCTGTCTCTCCACTTCCTGCTGCCGATGTTTCTTTTCAGCCAGGACCTCGGAGAAGGTTTTGATCGGCACTGAGGAAGAGCTTTTGGCTCCTGGTGGAGACTCGTCAGTCCGGGAAGGTTCTTGTGTCTTCAGTGTGGTTTGCACTTCCCCACGTTTCCGACCGGCTCTTTCAAGAAGGATTTCTTCCAGTGGCTTCACATGGATCTCACCGGCTTTGTTAAGTCTCTCTTTCCTTGGTGCTTGATCAGTGTTGTTTTCTGCAGCCTTTCTTCCCAGTCTCTGTGCAAGGCTTCGCTTTAAGGGGGGACCACTGTCGCCATCTACTGAGAATTTTCGTTTCCCCAGTCTCTCAGTGAGAGGCAACCTAACCAAGGGCTCTTCTTGTCTGCTGGCTAGAGTTACTGTCCTCATCACAGCCCAGACATTCTCCTTCCCAGGGCCTGAATTGGGCTGAGGGTGAGAAGAAGCTGTGGGAACTCCCGAGGAGCTTTCACCTTGCCTCTTGGATTTTTCCTCCATTTTCTTTGATGTCATTTCCTTAAGAGTTTTTATTCCAAAATTCAAACATTCACCTTGCTTTAAACTGACTCCGGGTTTCCGGGCAGAAGCCACTCGTATTCCATTATGAACCTCAGGAGCTGGTTGCAGGGCAGGTGTTTTGCTTCCATCGTCCTCCTCGGAAAACTGATCATCATCGTCTGCATCATCTTCGGCAAGATTGATTACAATGGGTGGATGCGGGGGCCTCGGAACACTTCCTGAGCTTGCTGCTTCCGTTACAGGCCGCAGTTGAGGGGAGGGATTAGACGGGACCCACAGTTTGTTCTGTCCATCTGTGAGCTGGGTAGCCTTTACCTCTTGCAGCTCAGGCCCTGGGGGCAACACCGTTTTGCTTGGAGGTCGGAACAGTCCCTCAATGTAACGACCTCTCTTGTGATGGAAAGCACAGTGTATTTTTCGACACCCCGTTGGCTGGTTTTCCCAATAACAAGGAATTTCACTTCGTTTTTTGTCAATTTCCGTGTGGCGAAATCTGCACACCCGTCGAAAACAGCGGCCTTCTTGCCAGAGTGTGCAAACAGTTTCATTTCCTAGCGCCGCTTCACAGTGACGGAATGGGCAGCTGTCGCCTTTGGTGCATGTAGAGTAGAAGTAAAAATAGCAGTCGTCTCCCTGATTAGGCATGCTGGGTGATTTCTCAGGCCGCAAGTGGCTTTTTGGAATAAGCCACAGTCCGAGTGCTCTTGAAATGGACTTACTCTTCAAACTGGTGTTCGAATTCTAAACGGTCTCAGAATAAAAACAAACAAACAAAAACAAAGCCAAACATTAGGGTACATGCTGAAAGATCAGAGAGACAAAGTAACAAGCCACAGACACGTCTCCCCTCGCCAACTCCACGGATCCTCTGACTGTTTGCCTCTGCATCCTTGGCCAAAAGGACTCTCTAGCCGAAAGGTCTCTGCCGAAAAAGCCTTTAGTCGAATGGGCTTCCTTACCTGAAAAGGCTTCTAGCTGAAAGGGATGCTTCTGCCGAAAAGTCCTTAGTTCTGTTTCCTCACGCCTTATATACCTTTCTCTGCCCTGCCATGTTACTTCCTGGGATTAAAGGTGTGTGTGCTTTCCAAGCAAAGGCGTGAGATCTCAAGTGCTGGGATTAAAGGTGTGTGCCACCACTCCCTGGCTCTGTTTCTCTCCTAGACTGATTCAATCTCAGGTAGTCCAGGGTGGCTTTGAACTCACAGAGACCCAGATGGATCTCTTGACTCATGAGTGCTAGGATTAAAGGTTTGTGCCACCACTGCCTGGCCTCTATGTTTAATCTAGTGGCTTGTTCTGTTTTCTGATCCTCAGACAAGCTTTATTTGATACACAATCTATCCCCACACTCCCCAAGTTGCTTTTGGTCATGGTGTTTCATCACTCTAAGAAGGTATTCTACAAAAGTTTGGTGGTTCAAGCCTGCAGTTCTAACAATACATAGGAGCTCAGTAGAAGACTATGAGTTCACGGCCAGCTTAGCTGTGTAGTGAATTCCAGACCAAACCGAGCACCGTAGCAGAACCCTGTCTCATAAAACTGAGATTCAAAAGAGCAAAGTCTGGCATAGTGGTGTACACTTGTTATCCCAGCTCTTAGGAAATAGAGGAAAGAGGATCAGGAGTTCAAGGTCATCCTCAGCTACATGTCAGGTTCGTGTCTATTCTGGGCTACCTGAGACCTTGTCTGATGAATCAGTATAGTGCTGTAACAATGTGACAGGGAGTCTAACTCATTAAAATACTGGGCTGTTGAGACCGCTCAGCAGGAAAAGGTGCTTGTTACTAAGCCTTCAGATCTGAGTTTCAATCCCTGGGACCCACATGGTGGAAGGAAAAGCCACATATATGACCGACACACACATATACACACATACATTTCTGTTATACTATGTTTATATCACGCACGCATGCACGCACGCACGCACGCACAAACAGGGTCTTTCTGTAACCCAGGCTGTCCCGTAGCTTTCCAGCCTCCTGCCGCAGTCTTCCGCATGCTGGGATGACAGCTGTGCATCACCACTTAGGCTCAGTTCCCACTAGCACTTATCTCTTATTTCATTTCAGGCCACGTCGTTTTCTCCCACCTCCGCCAGACTCTCCCAAACAAACCCCAGCCACGCTGTCACTTCAACCATAAATACAGATGGTCCTGCACGGAAGGATGGTTTGACTCATGATATTTTGACTGTACAGTGGTGGGCAAGCCAGACACATTCAGTTGGATCCTTTCCCCCGGCTAGTGATAGGCAGGAAACTGTGAAGATGCTGGGTGGAGCAGGCTGGAAAGCCTGGTTTCTCTCCTCCCACCAAGTAAGTACCGGGGATGGAACTCAGGTTGTCGGTATTGGTGGCAGAAGCCTTTACCCACTGCGCCATCTCTCTGGCTGCAAACCTATAAACTTAAAAGGACCAGTAAAACAAAACAAAAGACACCAGGCAAGATAGTTCAGTGGGTAGAGCCACTCCCTGAACAACTCTGGGGACCTAAATTCAGTCCTCAGATCACGAAAGTAAGAGGAGAGGACCAACTCCGTGAGATTGTCTTTTAACCTTCATACTACACTCTGGGATGCACCCCGTCCTCCATAGCACGAATCTTAAAAGGTCTATTAATAAAAACAAACCCAGAGCCAGGTATTGGGTTGACCACTGAAAGGTCAGAGAAACAGAACCAGCCACATCCAACCTCACCTCGCCAATTCCTCAGCCGATCCTGTTTCCTCAAACTGGAAGCCTCTGAGTCCTCATCCGAATGGATCTCAGCTGAACTGCTTCTCGAAAGCCTGAAGCTTAACCAGCTCTAGTTCCTGGTCCTCACGCCTTATATACCTTTCTGCTTCCTGCCATCACTTCCTGGGATTAAAGGCGTGTGTCACCATGCCTGGGTGTTTCCAGTGTGGCTTTGAACTCAGAGATTCCAGATGGATCTCTTCCTCCAGAATGCTAGGATTAAAGGCGTGTGCTACCACTGCCTAACCTCTATGTTTAATATAGTGGACATTCTGTTCTCTGACCCCCAGATAAGTTTATTGGAGTGCACAATATATCAACCACATTTCCCCTTTTTTGTTTAAAATAAAAAATTATAACTAACATAAGAAAAAGTATATACAATATATACAGTCAAGAATTACATTAACAATGTCTAGTCCATTAACATTTGACAGATTCAGATAAAAAACTTCATTTCTTTTTTTTTTATTTTTACTTTTTTAAATTAATTAATTAATTTATTTTTCTATTATCAGCTTGATACAGTATAAACTCTTATCTTAATAGTGAAATGCTTCATTGAGGCTTGCTCAGCAATTGAGTAAAACCAAAACTTATTATAAGCCTTAATCATCCTAGGGTCCCCTGTGCTATATAGCCTCCCTGGTTCTGTGGGTTGCAATCTGATTGTTCTTTGCTTTATATCTAGAATCCACTTATGAGTGAGTACATACCAGGTTTGTCCTTCTGAGTCTGGGTTACCTCATTCAGGATGATATTTTCTAGTTCCATCCATTTGTCTGCAAATTTCATGCTGTCATTGTTTTTCTCTGAGTAGTACTCCATTGTGTATATGTGCCACATTTTCTTCATCCATTCTTCAGTTGACGGGCATCTAGGTTGTTTCCAGGTTCTGGCTATTACAAATAGTGCTGCTATGAACATAGTTGAGCATGTATCTTTGTGGTACGAATCAGCATTCCTTGGGTATATGCCCAAGAGTGGTATGGCTGGGTCTTGAGGTAGTTCGATTCCTAATTTTCTGAAAAACCGCCATACTGATTTCCACAGTGGTTGTACAAGTTTGCATTCCCACCAGCAGTGGAGGAGTGTTCCCTTTGCTCCACATCCTCTCCAACATTGACTGTCATTAGTGTTTTTGATCATAGCCATTCTGACAGGAGTAAGGTGGTATCTCAGAGTCGTTTTGATTTGTATTTCTCTGATGATTAAGGATGTTGAGCATTTCTTTAAATGTCTTTCAGCCATTTGTGATTCTTGTTTTGTGAATTCTCTGTTTAGCTCTTTAGCCCGTTTTTTTAATTGGATTGTTTAGTATTTTGATATCTAGTTTCTTGAGTTCTTTATATACTGTGGAGATCAATCCTCTGTCAGATGTGGGGTTGGTGAAGGTCTTTTCCCATTCTGTTGTCTGTCTTTTTGTCTTATTGACTGTGTCTTTCACCCTGCAAAAGCTTCTCAGTTTCGAGAGGTCCCATTTATTAATTGTTGTGCTCAGTGTCTGTGCTGTTGGTAAAAACTTCATTTCTTATCCTATTTAAAACAAGTAATTCCCTTTTAAAAGTAGATTCAACAATCTACCTTTTATCTTATCATTTCTATATCTTCCTTTTTTTCTTTTCAGAGTAGATTCAATAATTTACCCTTTTATACCATTATTTCTATATCCTTTTTTCAGAATAGATTCAATGATCTACCTCATATCTATATCCTCTTTTTTCTTTTAAACAAAAACCCTGAATCTAATCTCCTTGTTTAGCTTTTTTCCTGACCATTAACAATTAACAACTTGTAACCAACCATCGTAAACAATGACAATATCCATAATTCATTAAGCAACCCCCCCCCATACACACACACCTCTTGGGAATGTGGGCGTCGTTTTCTTAAAATTACTTTCTGGGGGTGAAGACATCTTTAGGGGATCCTGAAAGGAAAATTTTTGGGTTAATTGTCAAGTCCTGGGAGAGTTAGCTGTATCATTTGTTGTCCAGTCTCTGCATAATGGGAAAATTCAGGACTTGTCTCAAGTCCTTGCTTGAGTAGTCTGTGAATCTGGATCATCTCAGCTAGCCATCTCAAGATTGTCCTAAGTAGTTTGTAGTCCAAGTCCAAAGTAGATCTTTCCATGGTGTTAATCAGTTTAATGGCTTTATCATAGTCCACGTGGAACCATCGTTGTGGGGTCCCATCATCCTCGTGAAGGTTTCAAAGATGCTGTTAGGTGTGGTCATGGTCCTCCGCAGAATTGTGTGTGTGTGTGTGTGTGTGTGTGTGTGTGTGTGTGTGTGTGTGTGTGTGCCTCCTCTGTGGCTGGAGCTGTGATTACAGCCTGATAAATGTCTGCCTCCCAGAACCACGAATGTTCTTTCATAGAAGAGAGTATCTTCATGCAACTTCTCCCCACCACCTGCCTCGCCAAACTTCTCCAAACTGACCTTTGCCGATGCTTTCTTGTAACACGATGGTCCTGGCAATTGTTCCCTGAACAAGCAGCGGTAAACCCTTCGTCTCTGGTAGCAGCGTTGCCATTGCCACCAACGTGATGAGAAGCAGCTGGCAACGTGGAGCAGTAGCAGCCTCCATGGTTTTGCTGCCACCGTTTGTGGTCTGACCCAACCTGGGCCTCAATTTCTCTTCAGCAAGACTCCCAGGATGGCCTCACACTGGGGATCCTCCTGCTTCTGTCTCTGTCTCTCTCTCTCTCTCTTTTTTAAATTAAGAGATTTTCTATTCATTTTACATACCAACCATTTTACATTCCCCTGTCCTCCCTCCTTCCACCCCCTAGCCCTCCCCCACTGCTTCTGTTTCTTTTAGCAAATCCTACAGGCCCACATGCAGCTCGGGCCTGAGCTGGGGCCCTCAAGGCCACAGGCAAGTAGCTTTTTCATGAATTAGTATCCTACAAGTTGGGTGCCAGGTATAGCACGAATCTTAAAAGGTCTTATTGATAAACACAAACCCGGAGCCAGGTATTGAGGCCAGCCTGGGCGTCTTGCTGAGGAGAAATTGAGGCCCAGGTTGGGTCAGACCACAAACGGTGGCAGCAGGACCATGGAGGCTGCTACTGCTCCATGTTGCCAGCTGCTTCTCATCAGAGAAACAGAACAAGCCACATCCAACCTCACCTTGCCAGTTCCTCAGCCGATCCTGTTTTCTCACTCCTCCAGTAATAGTAATAAATAAAAACCAAGAAGGAAGGCTGGGTGCCTTTAAGGTCTGCACTTGGTGGGCAGAGGTAAATGGATCTCTGGGAGCTTGAGGCCTTCTTGGTTTCCACATCAAGTTCCAAATAAGTAAGTGAATAAATAAATAAAATAAAAAGTGAGCAATGAGGTACAAATTCTCCTATTTTCTGCCTTCCTTCATCTGGGTCACTATGTACAGCCTGGCCTGACATCCGGGTGTTGTTTCCACAAGGTAGGCATGGCGCAGTCCCTCAGAACTTTCATGGAAAGCTATGGATACACAGCCAAGAAGTATTCATGGACATCTGTCGGGCCGTTTCTGCTGCTCTAATCAAACACCGGAGACTGGGTAGTTTATAAGAAACAGAAATTTATTTTTCACAGTGCAGGAGGTCAGGAAGTACTAAGTTCAAGATGGCAGGTTTCACGGCGAGGGTTCTGTCTCTGTTTCGAAGATGGAGCCTCTGGTGCTGTGTTCTCTCACAGTAGAACGGAAAACAGACACATACACATCTCTAAGCGTTTTTATAGGGACCATCACGGTAGCCCTCAAGGTGTCTCTTTGTTTATTTTTTAATTTTTTAAAATATTTATTTATTTATTTATTATGTATACAGTGTTCTGCTTGCCAGAAGAGGGCGCCAGATCTCATTACAGATGGTTGTGAGCCACTGTATGGTTCCTGGGAACTGAACTCAGGATCTCTGGAAGAGCAGTCAGTGCTCTTTTTTTTTGTTTTGTTTTTTTGGTTTTCGAGACAGGGTTTCTCTGTGTAGTTTTGGTGCCTGTCCTAGAACTCAATCTGTAGCCCAGGCTGGCCTTGAACTCACAGACATCCTCTTCCCTCTGCCTCCCGAGTGCTGGGATTAAAGGCGTGTGCCACCACCGCCCGGTGAGAGCAGTCAGTGCTCTTAACAACTGAGCCATCTCTCCAGCCCAAGGTGTCTCTTTAAAGACCCCACCTCTACATACAGCAGAATTAAGTTCGAAGATGCTCCTGTGGTCAGGGGAGTGTGTGTGTGTGTGTGTGTGTGTGTGTGTGTGTGTGTGGCACATACAGTGTATAAATTTGAAAGACATCAAAAGATAGTCTTCAGTTGGTAATACAAGTTAGAATAGAAAGTGAGTTAGGTACAACACATTGGATTCACCAAAATAGGATAAATAATGGAGTATTTTCTCTGAATTTGTCAAATGTTAATGGACTAGACATTATTAATGTAAGTCTTAACTGTATATATTGTATATACTTATTGTATTTCTTGTGTATAGTTTTTCTTATATTAGTTTTAAGCTTCTTTTATCATTTTAGACAAAAAGGAGAATGGGGATATACTGTGTACCCTAATAAAATTTGCCTGAAGATCAGAGAACAGAACAAGCCACTAGATTAGACATAGAGGCCAGGCAGTGGTGGCGCACACCTTTAATCCTAGCACTGGGAGGCAGAGATCTATCTGAATCTCTGTGAGTTCAAAGCCACCCTGGACTACATGAGATTGAATCAGTCTAGGAGAGAAACAGAGCCAGGGAGTGGTGGCGCACACCTTTAATCCTAGCACTGGGAGGCAGAGGTCTGTCTGGATCTCTATGAGTTCCAAGCCACCCTGGACTACATGAGATTGAATCAGTCTAGGAGAGAAACAGAGCCAGGCAGTGGTGGCAGACGCCTTTAATCCCAGTATTTGGGAGTCAACACGCCATTAATCCCAGCACTAGGAAAGGATGTGATGGCTGGGTGGAGAGAGGTGTATAAGGTGTGATGGACAGGAACTGAAGCTTTTTCAGGCTGAGGAGTCCTAGAGCTAAGATGTGACAGTGACTTGTTCCTTTGTCTCTCTGATCTTTCAGCATTTACCCCAATATCTGGCTCTGGGTTTTTTTTTTTATTTATAAGATCATTTAAGATTCGTGCAACAACATACACACTATAATGAAAAAAAATTAAAAAGAAGTCTCTGGGATGGAATGAAGTGGGGTGCACTATTATAGCTGGAATCTCTTGTAAATAAAAATTTATCTCTGTGTGTGTGTGTGTGTGTGTGCGCGCGCGTGCGTGCGTGCGTGTGTGTGTGTGTATGTGTGTGTATGCACAAATGCCACAACTCATGTGTGGATGCCAGAGGACAGCTTGTTAGTTCTGTGGGTCCCAGAGATTGAACTCAGGTC